AAATGGCACTTGAGAAATCGTGCGCATGTGCCACAGCTACGAATGCGAAGCTGCTAGTACTTCTAGCGATACCCTTCCAACATAACACGGATACGAAAGCGAAAAAGCTAGACCTAAATAGGCGTAGACCTTCCTTTGCAAAATTATAAGTGCTGGATAGTCTTTTAGTTGAACGATATCAGGCACGTGCGCAGCCGATCACTCAACGGACCGGACGACGGTCAAGTACGTACCCAGCCCCAGCTCGAGCCCCCACGCCAAGAAGAAAGGCCAGTCAAGAACGGTCAGTCAAGAGTGGGCTTCTTTGTTTCTTGAACCAAGAAGGCCTGAGTCTGACATCTCACTCAGGTCTTTGAGGAGAGTTCTGCACTTTATGACACTTCTCATACTTAAAAGAGCCGCCCAAGAACTTCTTCTGTAGCACTTCTATGCACTTACCCGAAAAGACGCAGTCCGCAGCAATCAAAACAGCAGCTCAAAAACCAAAAATCTCTAAAATCGAAAAACCGCTAGTTGGAGAAACACTCCTCAAAAATCAGAAACCCTCCCTCAACTATTCCCATACTAATGCTATATAATCTTCAATGTTACACAAAAACTGTAAGTAATGAGCGGAAGGCTCTGTAGATGTCCTCCACGGAAAACTACACAGACGAAAATGTGCATCGTGCTAAGTACTATCCTTCCTCCACTTTGTTACACGGACGACTACTCGGGGTCGCCAGTTGGTATCATTATTCGAGAACAGCTAAAAAAGGTACATAAGCAGTACAGAAGCTAGCAGCTCGAGGCAGGGCTAATAGTTGTACGTGTGTGCTGAACGGAAATGTTACAACACCGAAGACAAGAACACGAGAACACTTCATCGTCTTGGATGGACATGAACAAAAAAAAAGCGCGATAAAAAAACATCGCTTCTCACAATATTAACAAGCCCAGGACACCAATAAATGAATGTCACTTAAGCAGACATAAGCAGACATCCACGCGTTTGCTTCAGCTCCAACTTCAAACCTAGATTCCCAAGCTACACCCAAATAAACACCAGCAGACCATAGCCATCCCACATGGTCCAACATCAACCCACCAAACCGTAACCGTTTCCCAAATCATACAAAGTAGCTACAAGTGGTATTAATTGATATACTAACTAGTCACATTCGCAGAGTGAAGCTATTCTAGAGCGCATGCGAAGGAAGTGCACACACAGGAGAAGCATCAAGAAAGTCAATCTGGCTATGGAAGTTAATACACCTCAGAGTACCTACATGTAGCAAATCTACTGTCAGAAAAGCGCGGCTTTACGCAGCCGAGGCACCAGCGGACTCTGATTTGCTCTTGACTTGGTCTACAGCAGCGCTGATGACCTTTGCTGCGTTTTTCGCATAGGCTTCAGCATCATCCGTTTTCGTGGTTAAACCTTTCCAGAGAGCCTCGTCCACGAATTCCGGCTTCTCCACCGCCTCTGCTGGAACTGGTACTTTAACGAACTCACTCGCGCTGCCCGTGCTCGCTCCACCGGTAGCTATCAATGGGACGACCTTCGCGCTGTTATCGAAGGCAATGGCCGCCTCCTTTCCCACCCCGTTTCCGCCTCCAATGGTAATAACAACGTCACCAAGAATGCCAGTGAGCCGGTCCTTTCGTGGGTCATCCTTTTGAAGAAAGGGTATCTTCAGCGGCGTCCCGGGCCACTGACTCGCATCGAGCAGTGTCTCCTCCCCTTGCAAATTGTAGACGGCCCCCGCCGGCGCGTTTTGGGCGAAGATCTTCTGCGCGTCCGATACTCCACCAGTCACGAACGCCACACTGCCCTCCAATGGCTGCAAATGTTTACCCAGCTGAGCAATCACCCTTTTCGTCCATTCGTCGTGCTCAGCCTCAGCAGCTTCTTTGCCAAAAAAATTCCCTCCCAAGACAGTGACAACCACACGGCTGCCGCCCTCCTTCTTTAGACCAGTTCGAAGCCGGTAAGACACCTGTAGTCCATGGTGGCTAAGAAAAGGAACAACGACTAGTAATATTCTTAGTTAGGAGTCCTCCATGAACCGCTAACAAGGTTATGAGGCAATTAAATAACTGCATTATTACAAGTAAAGGGCGACAAGGTCAGCGGAAAGTAAACATGCTCAAAGAGGGGGGAAAATGGTGGCTATCCCAGCCAAGGAAAAAACCTGTAGCCACCAGAAAACCCCAGCAAGAAACTACAGCCAACTCATCAGAACCTGCATAGGGAGGGTTGCAAATCCTCCCAAAGAAGGCCGTAAGCGTCGCTGGACCTAAGCCACTAATAAGTAGCCAATCTTGATAGGCGGTCGACTATTGCGAGTCCTGACGAAATGCTGCCTAGTACTAAAAGTTGTGTTACTCGTAATATGAAGGCCCCAGATGAAGAATGCATGTTGGAGTTAATTTTCAGAACCTAAAAAGTTAGACTGACTCTCGCCTCTCCACAACAGACAGAAGAACTTTCAACAACTATTTTTTGAAATACCGCAAAGCGCAAAGCTAAAGACATTCCTTAACCAAGCCCATGCCGTCAGGACGTGAGCGGCTTTCATGTCCACCTGCGCCAAAAGAAACGCCGCCACCATCTCCCCAACCCGCTGCACATGGCGCCAGACTCCGAAGCGAAGGTCTAAGCCTTGCAAGGGGACCCAAAAAGCCAGCCTCCCCTAGGGCGTCACTTTTGGCCAAAAGGCGTCGCCCTGAAGCAGTCCCAAGCCCCCACCCGGGGGCCCGTTTCGGTCCTCACCGGCCCATTTCTTTGAGGTATCAAACTGGCCCCGCCTTGTGCCCGTTTTCGACACACGTCCCAAGCGTCTCGGAGCAGAGGCTCACAAGGATTGGGACTTGCTTCTCAGGAGGCGCTTGTAGCATCCAACCATGCTCAACTATAATCTCTACGAGCGAGGGTAGCCCCGACCCGCGGGCTTGGCCTTTTTCCGGTCCAAAGATCCCCGATAACCAGGACCGTGAAAACGCGCCATCGCCGAACGTATACGCTGAGGGGCCCCTCACCAATGAACGGAGCCCCGAGCAGCTGCCAGTGGACGGCCCCGCCTGGACCGGCCTCGAGAGGAACACCTCCGAGACGCTGCCCCCATGGCGAGCCCGCAAAAGCTAGCGTGAGACGCAGCCCTCTCAAAAGTGAGACACCCCACAAGGACTCACTTAGCGAGATCGACTGTACCTCCGCACGCCCGACCGCTGTTACAAGACGGGAGGCTTCCCTAGTCCCAAAAATGAGTCGGACTAGCCTCCCTGCCGGCAATGATCCCAGAAAAAAACAAAAAAGCGGGAATGACGGCCCGCGAGGATCCGATATCGCACAGAGGCTTTATCGCCAGCAGAAACTAGCTGCCTTGGAAATAGTCACGACAACCGAGGAAGAGAGACAGATGAAAATATCTACAGCACCCGCCTCCTATAGTTTGCTTCCAAGAAAATAACGCAACAAGAACGAATCGAACGCGAGCTACTATTAACTGTTGCAGGTGCTCACTGCTTTACGAACTTCCAGCGCCGCAATATCTCTCTCGGTCTAGTAAATACCTACGAGGCGAACTTCGGTAAACAAGCAAAGATGTCGACGAATCGTCAGAAGTACTAATATCACCAAAGTCGGCAATACCATGGACGGCGCAGTCGTGATTTGCTCCCAAACAAGGTTTGCGACATTGGGTGGACGTGCTTCCTCCTTCTGGAACTTTTTCGCCTGCTCATAGATAGCAGGGCGCATCTGTCCCGCCAAGAAATTGTGAGGAAAGTCAGGAGAAGTCGGCTCGCTTGCGCCTCCAGAACACAGCACCGGCACTACCATGGCTTCGTTGTTAGCCGCGTGATTAGCTTCAGCACAAACCTCAGAGCCGCCTGCGATAGTCACATAAACGTCCGCGACCAAGCCCATGAGCAACTGTCTTGCAGGGCTTTCAGCGTCGGTTGCGACAAGGAGTGTAATTCCAGGAAGTGTGTCTGTCTTTCTTTCTTGAAAACCGAAGCCACTCCCAAAATTTCTCCCCTCGTCCGCTAGGTTGTATAGACGGTTCTTCACTCTCGCTCCTGCCTCTGGTACGCCCACCAGCTTCATGCCAAATATGTGATGCCAATCCGACGTGCCCCCGGTGACGAAAACCAGATTGTTCTCTTCCGCGTGTGTGGCTAAAACAGCCGCGACGTTGCCAACATGTTCCTCAACCTTGTTTGCGCGATCAGAACTGTCGTCATCAGAAGCCAGAAAACCGACGATCGTTGCACCGGGAAACTTCTTCAGTATATCCTCCTTTGCCTTCCTAGCATCGCGCGGCGCCTGTACGTGGGGAAAAATTTACGTGATTCCCGCGCGAGCGCGACTACCCGAGCGGACGAAAAGACCGAACCGACCGCCCCTGCGCTTTAGTCCACTGCACCTGCGCATGCGCTATGACTGTGTGTGAGCGCAGTAAGCGGGGGTCCGCGGGTCTCGAGGTTCAATTTGAAGCCAGGCACACTATAGAAAAGAGAGGTCTGCGATATGAACGGCGCGAGCGCTCGTCTTGTGGTATGAAGAGAAGAACAGAAATAAGGACAAGGGGCCCATGAACTAGTACTAAGAGGGCAACGCAGGCTAGTTTGTGTATGGCCATAGCTTCGTCGGAGTTAGTTTTGGTCCCGACGGTTTGCATCCCGATGGCAAGGCGGGCCACGATCGCGGTAAGGATGCAAAGAGCCTCATCCCCTTATACTGGATCCGAAGGCGCACGGCACGTGCAAATCATGCTACGCAGTCTCAGACAACTACTGGAAAGAAACCTGAAGCACGGCAACCACGACTACCACATAACCGCGGTGAAAGGCTTCGTAAATATCTTCAAACAGCGACACCTCCCACTTCCCACACAAAGAGAGCAGAAGCAACCCAGCAAAACCCAATGAACGAGAGAACGCACAAGGACCGCGGAAACGCTACACGGCCGGAACCGTGGCACGCTGTGCTATACCACGCATGCCACCCTCTATTTGTTAAGGGGTGCAGCGCCTCTAGATGGTCCCACCCCCATTGCACGGGCTAGGCGGCCCCACTCCCGTGGCGCGGGATCTGTATGATTAAGTAATCCCATGGAAACTTTACATCCTCCAGCGGAAAGCCTTTCCAAAGGCAGACCTCCGTGTTCTACATTGCTCCCAAATGTATAAGGTAGGCTAACTTATGTCGACCTCCGTTTGCGTGCAAATGAAAGGAAGACGATGATCACATTCTTAAAAAATGCACGCTGAAAAACTTCGCGGGAACCTAGTAGTGCCTACATCAATAGTGGGCGGCTTGGCTAGAGTTCGATAAAACCAAAACTCACGCAGCGAAAGAGGCGAAATTTACCAGACTTTACTGCAGCAAACCGAAGAAAAGCTTACGAGCAAAGAATGAACTACGTACTGACAAAACACGAACAAAAAGACGCAGCAAAACTATCGATCGAAAAAGTCTATACGCGCCCGAACTCGTGAATTTGAAGCCAAACCCCCTGGGCAATCGCGCCCGGAGCCGCTTTGCCAGGAGCGCACCGATCTTCCTCGACGAAATGGCCGCGCAGGATCAGGTGGTGCTGATCCCATTTTGCGCTGTCGTATACAAGCTCAGGGAGGGCCCTTGCCTTTGGGCTGCTCGTACCTCCAGAACAAAGCACCGGCACGACCAATGCTCCTCTTTCATGCGCGAAAGTGACTTCTGTTAGAGTCTGCTAGATTGCATCTCGGCCCCCCCCATCTTGACCCCTTTTACCTTGTATCCCACGAGAACACAAAGGGAAAGGGGACCAAGATGCCGAGGATGATGGAAAAAAGCTGACCATAATTCTGCTGGAGCTCCGCTGCCGCCTTTGAAGACAATATATACATCCGCGACCAGCGCGGTAAGCGATTCCCTGTCGCTGTCAGCAGCTTCCCCTATGAAAGAAGGACCATTACTCACACTCGGGGTCACAAGCTTGCACCATTCGAAAACTAACGCTGAAAACCGAAAACGAGGAAAAAGTTCTTTTTTCCTTGATCAAAAGCACGCTGGCTGTTTGAGTTTGAACTAACATATAGATTTTGATGGCGCACCAGTTTCGATTAAGTATGGTATGGCCTCTTGCCATAACAACTGGAAGTGGCTTCATGTAGCTCTTCTCTTGCGCACTAGCGGGGGGAGGAAAAGCGGCCTTTTGCACGGTGCCGTCGTTTTGCGTCTTATCGCTGGAAGAGATAAAGGCGCCATTTTCGTCGGCGAAGTTGTACGTTATCTGCCCCTTCCCGCTCATACCCTGAGCAAACACATGCTGCCAATTACTGGCGCCTCCAGTGACAAACATGTAGTCTCCCTTCTCCGCCATCGCTGCTGCCTTATCGATCAAGGCTGCCATGATTTTCGCATTAGTATTCTGTTCGTTCCTCAGCTCATCAGCGTCTTTCATGCCAGCCACAAGAAAAACGACCGTTGGTTTGGCGACCATTTTCGAGTCCGCCAAAATCTTCGACTTCACCTTCCGAGCCTCTTCCACCTGAACCTGATCCGGAAAACCAGTCAAGCAGCCTTAAAACCTCCCAATGCATGGGGAAGACAAGATGATATAATCACACGAGATGCGCAATGAAATGAGAATACGAAGAAAGTAAATCATGCGTGACATTATCTTATTTCCCCCTGGCCCGCCTGGGCAACCAATAAATCACAGTCGATTATTAGCAAGTAATACTTCTATGGAAAGTATGAATAGAAGAAAGTAATTCATCGAGACGAGAATGCGAACATGAAGGAAATGGATGCATATTTTAGATAAAAAAAAATTGTACTCAAAAGACGAAATTAAAGGGGGAAGGAAAATAGAACATGAAGGCGAGAGCCCGAGCCTGGAGCCTGCGATTACAAACAGCCCGCCCAATAATATCGACACAGCAATCCACGAACAAGCCGGCGTGGGGAGGGGAGTCCTCCCCCAACGGGGTTTCAGCGTCGCTGGACCTAAACCACCTTTGAAGAATCATAAGGGCAGTCAAAGAGAGCAAATCCACCAAAGAACAAAAGCGCGAGCGAGGGGGGATGCGCTGCACCACTCTCGAAGCTGTCGATGGCGCTGTCTTGACACACACTCGCAAACGACGGATTTAAACAGAGACAGAGCGCACAGGCCAGCGGATGGCACGCGGAAGCACCGATCAACACAAGAACACGCGCCGGCGCTTAGCAGTAGTACCAGCTGCGCGCCCATCCTGCCAACGACGACACGCAGCGCACCCCCCACACACTTCGAGCAGCCCACGCCTGGTCGAGCAGGAGGCGCCAGAGGGTCCTGGGCCCTGCCGCGCTGTCTAAGAATTTCAACTACTTACTCCACCCTGGTTCGCAAATGGGCTAGCTGCCCTTTTTCACCTCGTCGAATTGGATGTAGGCATATGGCCGATACCACGGCCCCCCGCATACCCTCCTCACGAATTGGCCAGAAAATGGCCCAAGGCCTTGGTCGTCGTGGATCATTCGGCCGGGCGGGCTGCCGTTCCGAGACGAGCCACCGAGCCCCGCAAAGATGCACGCTGGGTTAAGGCGAAAAGAGAAGCGACCACGCGCACAGGCCCACCATTGGTCTGTCGCGAAGTCAGTGTGAGTACACGCTGACTTGGGGCACCCTTGCGAGAAGGGGCAGAGTGGTTCCGCATCCTGTTTTTGTGGAAGGAAGCGAAAGGCAGCTTCATTCACTCTTTTAGCAAGCGCTCGACGCAGTGCCCCAGCGGTGCAAGGGGTCACCGCCTGGAATGTGGTCGATGCAGTGTGGGCAAATGCGCCCGCCGATCCCTCAGGGTGCTTCCACTTGGAGGGCCACGGGGTAGCGAGTGGGAGCCCTGGCACGAGTGAGCGCCAGAGCTAAGGCACCCGCGAAGACCACCACGGCGAGCACCCTCATCTACAGCGATCCGCACTCATTAATCTGGCCCCATGATAAACGCCTGGCTGTCCCCCTCTAACAAACATCCATCGACCCGAGGCCGCCAGAGTCCGAGACCGGCGTCGCCGTGATCAGAAACAGCACACACTTTCTAAGAAAATGGAAGAACAAGACCCTCCACGGCAGACCAGCATCTCGTTGAAAAGACATCTCAAAACTCTGAAAAAACGGCAATGAACAATTTGAGAGGGTGGACTGCTCACGACGAGACCATTATCTAAAAAGTGCACTGCGAAGCTACAAACAGCACTACGCGGAATGATGTTGCGACCTCGAGAAAACCACCATCAAAAAACGACGGCGATTCGCTCCTTCGCAATCATATTAGAAACAAACAGCCGAACGGTGAACGGGATATTAGTTAGTACTTGTTTGCAAGGCCGTCAACTATTATAATTGAGAGAGAGCCCAAAAAAAAACACAACGCAAAAGAAAGAGAGAACTACGAAGCAGCAACCCTAAATAAAGCAACAGGATGGCATGGTGATGCAGGGGAATCCAGCGCCGTGTCATGTCACAACGTGTCTCACCTTGTATTTGTCAAGGCGTGTCACGCCTCTAGATGGCCCCACTCCCGTGCCATCGGATCTGCGTGCCACGGAAAATTCACATCCTCCCATAGAAAACCTTTCCAAAAAAAGTAAAACTCTTTGTCCTATATTCTCCAAAAGTGTACAAGTAGAAGGCAGAGCGACTGATATGGATCTTGAGTGGGCTCCTACTTTTTCCGAAGACAACGAAAGGCAAGACGATGAGCACTTTGCCCAACGTGGCGCCAGGCGTGGGGCCTTTGTGTTTCTGTTTCCCTTTTGTTTTGCTTTTGTCCCGTCGGGGAGTCACAACAAACGGCGACAGAAACACGAAGGAACTTGGCTTACCTTTGATTCAATAAAACGCATTATGGACAACCAGCCCAACAACTACCAGGACAGCGACTTATATATAACTACAATTCTTGTCGGCTGGACTAGGTTGAAGCTAAAGAACCACCCCTGCTGCTCCTGAGTCTAATATCGACGATTTCCTAATATGCTGTAGCAAGCAACATAGTAGCCTGGTCTCTAATTCTAAACTAACCCCACTATCCACTTATCCGCGAAAGCTAAATCGGAGAAGAATGGCACAGCCGAAAGTTATCATTTATCAGCAACGAAATAAGTTTCTTACGGGTGAAGGTGCTGGCTTTTTTTCAAGTTTCCCTTTTTCAGCAGCAGCAGCAGCACCAGGCGCAGCAAGACCCGCAGCAGGGTTAGGAGTACGAGCTGCAGCCCCCGTCTCCTCGGTTTTCTTACCACATGCACACGAAGAGGAATCTTGCAAAAAGCTGCATCCAGCTTCGCATGGAGTGATAGAGCGACCTTCAGGACCAGAACTGACCACGAAAGACTCCAACGGCCCGCCACCCGTTGGACATTAGAGTGTGCTAGAATTCATCCCCGTCGCCCGGGTCCCATCTTGATGTCCTTAGTAGTAGTACCAACATCAACAACCACGACAACACAGCGCGAAGCCGGCGATGTTGTTGCTGTTGTTGTTGTTGTTGTTGTGCTCCTGTAAGATTTCATCATAGGAATAATACAAGAAAACAGAGGGTGTCAAGATGCTTTCTTGGCGAGATGAATAAAAGCCGACCATAAAAGTAATCGCTTTGCGTTTCTAAAGAGATACCCAGTCCGACTCCGATGCGCCAGTCGTTAGAGATAGTCGAATAGCTTTTTTGACGTTGTCTAGTCTTGATTGAAAAGCTTTACGCATAGTTCTGGATCATTAGTTAGATATGGATTGAATCATGGATACCTACGTAGTTAGTTCGCTCCAGATATAAACAGACGACGCGTAGAGTAGATAGTTAGCTCCTCCAGATGGCTAAGCAAAGTAAAAGTCGTTCAATATCGCTCAAAATATTTCAACTAGAGAAAAGCAGTGCTCTGGAAGGATTTAGTCCTCTGGAAAGTTTTAGTCGGCTCCCGCCGATACACTTAGCTAGCTAGATAGAAACTACTTGCCCAGCCTGAACGGGAAGTGCACGCTTGGAGAACTTGCAAGTGAACCAACAGGCAAGAGCCTACAATCCCACCTAGCCAACTTCGCAGCTGGCTAGGCTTAGTGGTTTAGGTGTCAGCCTGTTCTCAAGGTTGTGCAACTCAAAGAAAAGGGACCCACCCCGACCGGCTCTGTTCAAATATTTTCATTTGTGAACATCAAAACGGCCCATTATCCCGGGTTCGTGGGATCACTTGAGGAAAGTCCTGGCGGTTCAACCTCTTCACGCATGGTCCATGGAGGGCTTTCTATGGACGACTATCGACGAAGGGCACGCTGATGCACATGAGGGGCGCGATCTGATGAGGGAGCCTACGTAAGATGAAGAAGGGCACGCAGGATACCCAGCAAAAAAAGGCAAGCGGAGTGGGGGATCCGCCTAAACAAGGCAAGCGGAGTGGGCCCAGCTAGAAATATCCGCCGAAAAGTATCCACCTAAAAACGCCATCCATCTAAAACATTCACCGAAAGGTATCCACCTAGAGGTAGGCTAGGTCAGGTGTTGACCCGCCATCCACAGGGTGGCTTGTATGTGCCGCCAAATGTGGTATCCATCTAGAATAAAGCATCCGTCTAAAAATATCCATCGAAAACAAAGCATCAGCCTAAAAGCATCAGCCAGAAAGTATCCACCTAAGAAAGACAGACGGAGCGGACGCGCCTAAAATTATCCACCTAAGAAGGCCAAGCGGAGTGGATGCACCTAAAAAAGACACCCGGGGGACCGATTCGAAGGACCCACCGAAAAAGGCACCCACCTAAGAAAAATAATTTGAGTGGATGCACCTAAAAAAGACACCAAGCGGGGTGGACCCACCTAGAAGTATGGGCCTAGAAAAGAAAAGCGGAGTGGAAGCACCTAAAAAAGACACCAGGCGGGGAAAGGATCCACGTAAAACAGAGAGACTCAGACTCAGGGGTTCCCCGCCGTAGCCACGCACACACTCCGTGCGCGGCACTGTGGGGAATTATCGTAAGACACCAGGCGCGGCATATGCATCTAAGAAAGATACCAAGTGACCAAGCCCATCCGCCTAAAAAATACACACGGCGGAGACAGTGGGCCTACCGAAATATAAACGAAGCTCAGCCAAAAGGATCCCTTCGAGGGCCTTGGGGGTCCTGCCTAAACCTTCTACTTTTCTGCCTAAGTTTTCACTTCAGGCAGAAAAGTCCAAACTTTAGGCAGAAAAATCCAAAATTTAGGCAAAAAAGTCCAAAGCTTAGGCAGAAAAGTCCAAAGTTTAGGCAGCGAAACGGCTCGAATTTAGTCCACCGCCCTGCTCCGAAGCCACCGGGTGGCTCCGGGGCGCAGAAGTGAGCCGTTAGGCAGTGGCCTGGTGAACTTTTAGGCAACCGACTCCGCCGCAGCGGCACACCGCTAAAGCTGCCTAAACAAAGGCAGAATCTGCCTAAAGTTAAAATTTAGGCAGAAAGCTCGAAGGTTTAGGCAGACCGCGAAGGGATCCTTTTGGCACAATCTTCGTTCATATACCGAAACAAGACACGCGAAGTGGATGCACCTAAAAGGGGCACAGGGTAGAGCTCAACTTAAATACGACACCGGGCGAAGTGGGTCCGCCTAAAAAAAGACACCAGACGCATTGTAGCCAGCTAAAAACGGAAAATGAAGATGGACAAAATCTCTCAGAAGTGATAGCTCTTGTCAAAAACTTGGTATGGATATCTCTCAGAAGATGACCTTGCATCTTGATTTTCAATAAGTTAATTTTCAGGTGGCTAATACTGTAAACTATCTGGGAAAAAATACGAGAGGAGTAAATCCACGTAAAAAAAACAGGCGGACTACCTTCATTTACTATTGGAGCTGCAGCTTCTTCTAGGCTAGTTACTCAACCCACGCTGCTAGCTTTCGGCGTGAACTACGATTTCATTCGTGACCCTGCACTAGCTAATACCAGGAGAGAAGATCCTTAAAAATAAAAGGATCTACTGTCGGAGGGTGGAGTAACTAACCTACATACTACTTGCTAATACCGGGAAAGTAGGAGATAACAAGATGGCTACTAGAATGTTGTTAAAGTGATCTGTTCTGGTAGAAGCAGTAGCAGGGTGAGGATTTTTCTACGGAAAAACAGCCCAACATTTTGGATGACCAAAGAGA